TCAAGGAAGATCTGAACCTCTTCGTAATCGAAATCTCAAAATAATTACAAAAGATGTGGCGGAAGGCAATTAATCTTAGTTTACAAAAATGGTACGTTTACAATTGTACCTGACAATTCCATTTGAATTTTATTAGTCATTGACCGGCATATCCGCACGTAAGCTTCAGAGATATAGTACTCCTGTTATCTCCCTATAGGGCATATCAAGCGAAAACGTGGTTGCCTTAGTCCAACATAACTCTAGCGATGCATAAAATAAAGAAACAACTAGCAGTTCTCGTGAAAACGTGTTAGAATACATACTAGAAATTTTCGCTGTTCGGTACATTGCACATAATATGGAGGCATATGTATCCGAAAATTTTATAAAGGGATTATTTCCAACGTAATTTCACTTGCGCTGCTTTATTCACCCGGTGATTTTGCATGAACAGGCTTCCTCTACATGTAAAACTTAAGTTTACCTAGTACGCCCAATTTCTACTTTTTCGGAATTTTCCACTTTGCTGGTGTTTCTATAGAAAGTTATATTCCTTCATAAATCACAATGTGCCCTTTTATGAAGAACGACCATTACCTTATTGTTGTAAGACTTTGGGGACCGCAGCTTGGGCTGCGATCAAGTAAGAGGGAGTTTCATGTAAAGATCGTTGGATTTCATGAGTTAGGTAACCTACTGTACTTTGTTGTTTATCGTCAAGTTGTGGCCTCGGATTAGTTCCAATACTGACTGTGTGTTTCCTTGTTTCACAATTCGCTTGTTCTCCTCTTAAGTGCGCTGAGCTAGAGACGGAAGTCGCTCTTCTGCGGGAGACTGCGCAGTCAGCTCAACCACCGGAGTTTCCAAAGCCGCCGTCACCCTCCCCTGTCTCCCCAACTGACCGTCAAGATGCTGTCGTTTCCGTGGTTGCCGACTGTAAAACCTCGGAGACACAAACCTCAGACGACAGCAACTCCGGCCTAACTACCCCCACCACTACCATCACCACACAAACGGAGAATGCTGCAAGTAGACCGGAGGAGTCCGTACCTGATTTGCAAAACCAACTCGCCGAGTCGCAAGTACGTTCTGGTTCTGTCCCGACAAAATACTCGCAACACATTTAATCCTACTTAGTGTATTTCAGTAGCCATGTTTTTTGTTTACAATACGCAGGCTGCTTACACCCAACTGGAGGCACGCTTCCTGGTCGTCTCGGACCGACTGTCACGGAGTGACGAGAAGAACAGTCGCCTGGAGGCCACTGTTGCCCAGCTAGAAATGGAGTCTTCCACCATTGGCGAGTACATTACGCTGTTTGCGCACAGGCGTATGCTGGCCACGAAGCGTGCTCGACTGCGAGAGGCCTTGCTAGCCCGACTTGTCTCTGATCGACGGACGCTGCGCAAGCGGCTGTCCACCCTTATGGCAAGTGCTGCCGCTGGAGAGGTCACCCACGATGCCACTGAGCATACCGACGACGACGACGACCATGAACACCATGGCCACTCCCACACAGTGGCTGATAACCACTGTGAATCGACAGTACCAGGTTATTATTATAATTGCTTCTTTTTCTTCCTAGAAAAACTTTTTATTGGTAGTCTGGTTCCCATACGGTTTGACAAAGGTCGCGTTTAAAAAGTAGTTTTTATCGACTATTTGCCACTTCCGGTGTAGTAGGCGCTAATATGCTTCAGTACCTTCATCTGACACAGGCAAGGGTTAGGATTTGGTTCTCAATGCATTACCGGTTATTTTCGGACTAACGCTCTCAGTATTCACCCTTTCATCCTACTTAAAGTGTACATTC